GTTTACAAAGCCGGTAAGAAGTAAATACATTATTTGTTCGAAATGTACATAAACAGATTTATAAATTTAAAACTACCAAGAACAAGAGGCAGCTATAACCGGAACGCAAGTACATCTTCAATGTCAGCTCCCGCCATACACAATAACATTAGCTCCAAAATCTACACGCAAGGTGTAGAAGTGTAATATGAGTACAACCGACCCCATGTACTCAATAAGTAACAAACCTAACTTTAGGTTGAAAGTAGTGACGATCTTGGACAACGGTCAGAGTCCAATACCAATAGCTAAGAACAACTCGTAATAATAAGATAAAAGCAGTACAAATAATAACTCAAAGATATGATACTCAGCTCATTCACAGTTACTGAAAATAGGCATGCTTTTTAGGTATGATAATATAACGCAAATCTTTCACCGAAATCACCGAAATATGAGTAAATCTGAAAACTGTAATATCCCAAAAACTTTCAATAACAGATAAGATAATTCATTCTCAGATAGCATGAGGAAAGTACATCTCTATGCCTATATGTCAATGGGCATGTAAAGTCATGAATGTCACAACACCGTGTAGCAAGAGGAAATGCATCTCTATGCTTACGTGCCAAGTATGCATGTCAAATGTAATGCATCACAGTGAAGAGTTCATGTACGCACACTCTCAGAGTACTCAATCTCACTATCTCACACTTAATCACTTGGTACACTCCATCACTCGGCACTCGGCACCTGCAATCACTGCTGATATGTTAGACTTCGGAGGAGCGGATCCTGCCCAAGTGCTAATACAAGCCAACATGGCCTGCTGCGACGTATATCCTGATCCCATCATAAATCAATAAAAACTGCTACGACGTGCAGCTCGATCCCATCATGAATCAATAAAGCCTACTGCGACATGCAACCCGATCTCATAAATATCCATCACAATTAGGCTATCGGCCTCAATTCAGTCATCAATCTCTCGGGCTAACAAATCTCATGCCAGTCAGTCCAAACAATGATACATGATGTAATAATACATGATAATAGAGACTGAGATATGATATACAAATGAATGAATATGACTAAGTAAGAAATTACAATTTAAGCAAATAACTCAATAACAGAAATGACCTCAGTGGGTCCTAAAAAAATAAGCATATAGCCTAAACATGGTTTCTAACATGGATCATAGCTCAATTATCCTAGCATGTAGAAATTTCAAGGATAAAAATAAGATTTGGTAACTACACAGTACAACAGAATCCACCGAGTCATAATTCCCACGATGCACGCCCACACACCATCACCTAGCATGTGCGTGATCTCAACACCAAACACATAACACGTATGTTTAGGGATTCATACCCTCAGCACCAAGTTTAGAAGTGTTACTTACCTCGAACAAGCTGAATCCAATACCTAGTAAGCCAAACAATACTCCAAAAATGTCATCCCGTACGTACCGACCTCTGAACAACTCAAAACTAGCCAAAAGTAACTCAAAAACATCAATAATACCAAAGGAAACAAACCCAATCGATAAAGGCTGAATCTTTAATAAAAAATCCAAAGTTAACTAAAAAGTCAAACACGGGCCCGCACCTCAGAATCCGACGAAACTCACAAAATCCGATAAGCCATTTAATTATGAGTCCAACCATACTAGTTTCACTCAAATCCGATTCCGAATTTATGTTTAAAACTCAAATTTAGACAAAAATCCCCAAATTTCACTTTGAAATCATCAATCAAATGCCAAAAACGAAGATGGATTCACGAGATATAACAAAAACAGAGTATAGAACACTTACTCCAATGTATATGGTGAAAATCACCTCCAAAATCACCCAAATCCGAGCTCTCCAACTCAAAATATGACCAAATAAACAAACCCTCGATATTATATGCTTCTGCTCAGCTATTTTGCCTCGCTTTTTGTACCAAACGATCCCATAACTCACTTTTGATACCTCCAATGGATTTCTCGTTATATTCCAGTGAAGTTAGGCTTTTTAATCACTCTATTTGACTCTATAATGAAGGAGATATGTTGGTTTCAATATTTAAAAATAATGTAGATTTTTAAGTATGAATGTAGTAGCATTTTTGTAATTAATCTGAAAAATCTGACAATCCAATTCTTAGTAAAATGGCCATATATTCCTCATACGATGTCGAAACTTGATGATTTTAGTTGCTGTAATTTCAAAATTACGATACAGATATAATGGTTTAGTCGAAACACAAATCAAAGGCCATTTGCTTAATATAATAACCTTTATGCTCAAATCGATGTCGAAATCGAAAACAATCACCATACAACCCAAACTTATCTAAACCTCATCAGAATTTAACCAAACTTTGTGAAAATGTCCAAAATCATCATACAAACCTATTGGAATAATTAAAATCCGATTCCAAGTTCGTTTACCCAAAAGTCAAACCTTGGTCAACTTTTCCAACTTAAAGCTTCTAAAATGAGAATCATTCTTCCAAATCAATCCCGAACTTCACGAAAATCGAAACCAACCATATAAGCACGTCATAATACATAATATGAAACTACTCAAAGTCTTAAACTACCGATGGAAAGCTAAGCTCAAAACGACCGGTCGGGTCGTTACATCATGGGAAAGTTAGAATTTGTATATAGTAAGTCAATACTGGGTCGATCGAGACTCTTTCTTAGTGATATGGAACAATAGCATCGAATCATACTGGCACAGAAGAAGAAGTGGTTCCATCCTACCGACGAGACAATTCGATTTTTAGCCAGCTTGAAAGCTTGTCTTTTTTTATTTAATTCATCCACCCACGCTTTCACCCCCTATAGTGGTGGGGGGTTTGGCTTGACCCCTACCTTTTATACTAAAAATATAATATTACATTGGAGGGGGACATAAAACCAATATCTCCCGAAAAGGTACAACACCCAAAAATAGAGTTATTGAAATGTACCAAGGCTAAAGTGTGCAAGCACATTTAATAAAAGAAATAGAAGAGCTATTGCCAGCAATATTCCTTAACAATGGCTCCTCTTTGGCAGATCATGGAGGTTCGAAGAACCAACCTGAATGTTTTTTTGCCTTTATTCTAAAGGTTGGAATTTGCATCCTATCCAATCTGTGAGCTCCTTTAATCTCATTGGATAATTCATTTTCTGTCAAGTAAATTTCCTTATCAGTGATGGTGTTGGCATACTTAGATAGTAGGTCGACAACTCCATTACCTTCTCTTAAGCAATATTTTATCGTGATATCTTGTTATTTTATCATGTTTTAAATTTGTGTAATGAAGTCCTGTAGCTTCCATGGTATCTTAGATTTGCCCAAAATCATGTTACCACCAAAAGGGAGTCCATTTCTAGCGTAAGCTGTTGTAGATTTTTTTGGCAACACCATATAATATCTTGAAGGGCAGCTTGGGCCTCTGAATAATTATTAGTCAAGAATTAGATTGGTGCTACAAATGCCATCACCATGTAACCGTTTCTGTTCCTAACAACACCTCCAGTTCCTGCTCTATTCAAGTTATTCATGTAGCTTCCATCCGTATTGAGCTTTCAGGCTCCCTCTAGTTTTTCCCATTTGACTATGGCACTTGATAATTTAGGCTTGTAATTTTTTACCACTTGGCAGACTTTGATCCAGTTCCATTCCCAGTCCGTTTTGCTAAACTTCTTCCCGATGGAAACTTTAACCTGAAAAAGAACTTGTTGGTAAATTCTAGAAATAAATATAGAATTATGACCATATTTTTTTCCGCATCTTGCTTGCCATAGTTCCCAGCAAACTATTGTTAGAGTGATTTGCAGTAGATATATGTGAATTATGTTTGTTGCTTGTTTGTTCCACTAGTATTTAAATATATTTAGAATAGTCCATCCTTGCGCGGATATATTCTTCCATATTTTCCTAGCTATTTCACCTAAAACAAAAACTTGGTTCATAGTTTCTTCTTCTGGCATCCTGCATCAAACAAATCTAGAAACAATGTTCATGTTAAATTTTTTAATAATATCATCGAGCGACAATCAGCCTTTTAAAATTCTCCAAAAATAGTTGCTTCCTTGGTTGATTTTCCCAAAAATGTTAGTATCTACTTTTTCTCTCAATTCTAGTAGATTCCTCCATGTATAGGAGTCTTTGGAGTGTAGCACTTTGGACAGAGGGTTTGATCTCGGGCAGTATTTGGCTTTTAAAAACTTGGTCCATAGGTTGTCTTTCACTCTGAATCGCCACCATCTTTTTGCCGAAAATGAGTTACAAATGTCTTGGAGCTTTTTAAAACCAACACCACCTTCATCGCAAAGGTAACTCACATTATTCGACGAACTCCAATGATAACTCTTCTTGCCTTCTTTTTCATCCGAGAAGAAGTTAGCTAGATACATTTCAATTTGACTAATAATCGTTCTTGGGGACCATGGCAGCGAAAAGGTAGAAAGTCTGGGACTGTAGCACGTGATTAATGATAGTAGCTCTTCCACCAAAAGATAGCATTTTGCTTTGCTTACCTAATTCTAGAAAGAAGTATCATTAAAAAATAGAAATGTTAGCTGAGAAGCTCTTGCTTGCTTTGGGCAACTCGAGAGGAGAAAGATATAGTCATTATTTTAATTATTGTGGCAACCAAACGATCTCTTAAGGCCTTAAGTGAGAGCAAAATCAGATATAATATAGTTATGAGTTTATTCGAATCAAGGCTTTTGTTCAAAACTTATATATATTAAAAGAATTTAGTAAATAAAATACTAATGACAAATGTTAACAACAATGAATCAAACCGAGTGCAATAACTTTTAAACTTGAATCCATAAAATTCAAATCTGGGCCCTCCTCTCGTAAGTGTTTCCGACTAGACTAATCTACAATTCTACATGCACCTCGCTCAAAATAGATATTGGCTGCAACCGGGGCCAATGAAGTTATCCAGACAAGTATAGGGTTGGTACTGTAATTTAAAAATTTACAACGACCATATGTTAAAATAAAAAATCAGCCCCCTTTCTTTCCGTTCCCAAATTTTAAAACTCACAAGTTCAAATCCCACATCAGAAAAAAAATTCATACTAAAATCGAAAACGTTACTGCAACGCTGTCGGTTCTTCACCTCAAATCTTGAATCTTTCCTCAACGGCTTCTGTCGGTTTGCTTCAGTTCAAAAATTTCCCTTTCTGGGTCTTCTTGTACATATATATTTATGTGAGTTTGTCTGTTAATGTTACTTTTTCACTAGTTGGATACTAGTAAAACTGTTCAATCCCTTTTAGCTTGGTGGCTCTTCAAAAATTGAGACTAGTTTTAAGTTTTTCATGTAAGCTGCATTTTCTTGATTACTTTTTTTCTTCTGAATTTCACATTTTCTTGAACTTGTATTATGAGCTGATTCTTTGACCCTTATGATATTGGGATACTATATGAATGAAAAATGGGTTTAAATTTCTTTGATGACAGGTAAATTAGGTGCTTTATCGGCTAAGTTTTATTATGTCGCTGTTAAGTAGATTTTTCTACAGAAGGCCCCCAGATGGGTTGCTGGAACTTGACGATAGAGTATACGGTAAAACAACCAATTTTGACTTGATAATGTGCTTGATATTCTACATTTTATTGAATACTCGAAGTGCATTGTATTTTTCTCAAGTTTTTTTTTCCTTGTGTTGAATGTCTGCAGTTTTTGATTCTTGTTTTTCGACTGAAGTACTGCCTGAGGGAGTTTACAAGCTTTACTTGCACGAAATCATAAATGAACTGCACGAAGAATTTCCAGATTCCTCCTTTCTTGGTTTCAATTTCAGAGAAGGCGAGAAAAGGAGCCAGTTCGCGGAGATTTTATGCGAGTATGATGTAACTGTAATGGATTATCCAAGGCAATATGAAGGCTGTCCTGTACTGCCTTTGTCTTTGATCCATCATTTTCTATGTGTCTGTGAGAGTTGGCTTTCTCTTCGAAATCATAACAATGTGATTTTGTTACACTGTGAGAGAGGTGGTTGGCCCCTTCTAGCCTTCATTTTGGCTAGTTTCTTGATTTTCAGAAAGTTACAAAGTGGAGAGAGAAAAACTCTCGAGATGGTTTATCGTGAGGCACCTAAAGGTTTATCACAATTATTATCACCTCTGAACCCATTCCCTTCTCAGCTTCGTTACCTACAATATATATCAAGAAGAAATATATCTCCCGAGTGGCCTCCTCCTGAACAAGCTCTTTCTCTGGATTGCCTCATTCTTCGTGCCATTCCAAGATTCGACAATCAAAAAGGGTGTAGGCCAATTGTCCGCATTTTTGGCCGGAACCTTCTTAGCAAGGATGGATTGTCAACTCATATGTTGTACACCATGCCAAAGAAAGGTAGAAGTCTTCGACATTATCGCCAGGTAAAAAAACTGCTGTCACTGCATCATGTTTCTTGTCTTCTTCAATTCTGCTGTGGGGCAACATGATTATTATCATTTTGCAGAAGGACAGTGATGTCATCAAGATTGATATTCAGTGTTTGGTGCAAGGAGAAGTAGTATTGGAGTGTGTCCACTTAGACCTGGACCCTGAAAGGGAAGTCATGATGTTCCGTATAATGTTCAACACAGCTTTCATTCGCTCCAACATTTTAATGTTAAACTGCGATAACTTGGATATTCTATGGGATACAAAGGCACGCTATCCAAAAGGCTTTCGAGCTGAGGTGAATACTTTCTTGTGTCTGTCTGATTAGTGTTGGTTAAGTGGATCATCTTTGCTCTCCATATTTCTCCTCTAATTTTATACATTCTGCTCGCAGGTTTTATTTGGTGATGTTGAGAGCATCTCTCCTGCAAAAGCTCCCACTGCAGCTCTAAATGGTGAGGAGAAAGGTGGGCTTCCTATCGAAGCTTTTTCAAGGGTACAAGAACTTTTTAGTGGTGCTGATTGGGTTGATACTGGCGATGATGCTGCGTTATGGTTGTTTAAACAACTATCGGTGTTGAATGATATGAAAGATTTATCAATTTTGCAAAGTAGGATGAGCGGGTATTCGTCCCCATTTGACTCTGAAGAAGAAAATAATGCATCGAGTATTGCTGACAGTTTGGACTTTCTGGACTCAGAGAAAGCTAGTAATCTTACTTATGCTAATACAACAGACATCAATTTTTTAGATGAACAGGATTCAGCTTCTGATGGAACTTCTGATCTGAAGATTTCTGAGGATCAAGTGAAGCTTTCAATGTCAGATATTGGTCCTGTTCAGTCTCCTTCTGAAAATAACAGTCAATTGGATGCTGTCATTGCTCCTGAACATTCAAAGGAAGTTCGAGATTGCGATACAAGAACTTCCTCTTCTTCTCCATTACCTTCACCACCTTCGTCACCTGTCCCTGTGATTTCTAGTACAAAAGTCCCTGAATCATCAGCACCATCTCCCCCTTCGGCACCCTCTGTGTTTGGTTCTCCTAGCAAGGAGGTTTCTTTACCTCCACCACCACCACCACCACCTCCTCCTATATTTGGTGGCCCTTCTTCTGTCCCGCATCCTCCTCCGCTTCCAGCACTTGCAAGTTCTAATAGATCACCTCCACCACCACCGCCACCACCACCACCTTCAATTGGTGGTAATAGAGGACCTTCACCGCCAAGAGAACATACTTCTTCAACTTCCCCTGATAGCTTTGCTAGAGAACCTCCGCCACCTCCACCACCTCCACCACTTCCAAATAAGAGCTTTTTATGCACGCCTGCTCCTCCACATCCACCTCCNTTCTGTCTCTTTCAAGGGTCCTCCACTTCCACCACCACCACTGCCTTCATCCTCTACATCAAATAGGTCAACTCCGTTGGCACCTCCACCACCACCTCCACCTTCATCCTCTACATCAAATAGGTCAACTCCGTTGGCCCCTCCACCACCACCACCACCACCACCACCTCCACCTTCATCCTCTACCTCAAATAGGTCAAGTCCGCTGGCACCTCCACCACCACCACCTCCACCTACAAGCAATTCTAAAAGGCCACCTGCACCTCCTCCACCTCCTTTGGGAGTTCCTAGGCAAGGTTCAACTCCACCTGCACCTCCACCAGCACCAAAGGCTCCTAATGCTCCACCACCTCCTAGGCGGGGTTTGACACCCACTCCACCTCCACCACCTGGTGGAAAGGGACATAATGTGCCACCACCACCACCTTCATCTACTGGACGTGTAAGAGCCTCTGTAGGCTCAAATGCTCTAGGGAAAGGGCGAGTTGCAGGAGGTACTTCAATTCCTCCTAAAAAAGCTTCATTGAAGCCTTTACATTGGTCGAAAGTTACCCGGGCCATGCAAGGGAGTTTATGGGCAGATACGCAAAATAAGGAAAATACATCCAGGTATGCAGATTTTATTTTGGGCGATGAAAAATTACAATGAGAACTTTCTGGATCATTTCAATTTAATACGCAGATCATAATGTTTGCTATTTATTTTTTCTCGTGAAACTCCGTTACAGGTCATCATTAGGCTAGTTCTGAGCACTTTGATTATACCCTAGCTTGCATGGGGTACTGCAATTTTGTTATTTATCTCTTTGTTATGGGAAATTCTGATCAAACCTTTTTAATGTATGTGGCAGAGCACCTGAAATTGATATTACAGAGCTCGAAAATTTGTTTTCGGTGGCTTCAGCTACTGATGGAACTAGCAAAGGTGGAGCTCGACGTGGTTCCAAAATCAGCAAACCAGAAAAAGTGCAATTGGCAAGTTATATATGCTTTATCTTGTTTCCAGTCTCTATAATCGTTGAATGTGCTGATGATTTGCTATTAAACAAGTTTATTACTTTCTCTTAAATTGCTGAGCAAGGCACACAATGGACATGTAGGATGAAAATGCCCCGTTTCCTTTGTATGTTTCACTCACTACCTTATCTGTTTTATTGGAGATACTAATCATTTCTGTCTTTGTTCCCTTCCTCTGGGACTCACTCACTTTAGAGTGCTTTATGTGTTAACAACATTTTTCTCTTTAGGCTCAAATTAAACCTTAAACTCCTCCAGTCTGCAGAATTGGATATGTAATGGAGGATACTATAATCTAGCTCATCCACTTTCTTCTCCTTCCTCTTTATTCCCTGCACGGACATGGAAGCCGAATCTTATCTTGTTAGATAATCCTTCTCCTATTGATACTCCTTACTTTCCTCTTAGCCAAATAGGCACAATGGTTTCTTAATGATGCTTGCTGCACTTGACTAATGGTAATTGAGCGTAGAAGTTACATTTATACATGGCACTTTAATTCATAGATTTATATCAAATCATCTGTCATTGAAGGGGAGCCTTGGCGTAACTGGTAAAGTTGCTGCCATGTGACCAGGGTGGTCACAAGTTCGAACCGTGGAAACAACCTCTTGCAGAAATGCAGGTTAAGGATGCGTACGATAGACCCTTGTGGTCTAGCTCTTCCCTGGACCCCGCGCATAGCGGGAGCTTAGTGCACCGGGCTGTCCTTTTATATTGGATCATCTGTCATCTGTTGCCCATGCAATTATGCTTTTTCTTCTTGCCCAAATAAAACATTTGACATTGCGTCTTTGCCTAATTTAAAAATGCATGAACATCGAGATAATGTTGAATTTGCACATTTATAAGGTCAAAGGGCATATGAAAGCGTCAATAATCTTCCATGACTAGTACATGTAAGATGATTGTTTTAATGATTTAAACTCAAGAGGAGTTTAGAAGTAAATACACACCTTGAACCACATAGATTTTTTGAAATGAGAAATGGACTAAATTGCTACTAGTGCCGAATTACCATGATATTCTTGAAGTACTTGGTAGGACTGTACTAGTGTACTCTGGCCAACTAACAGTGTTGTAACTCAATATCAGTCGTAAATCCGATCCAGAAATAGAGTGCTGCCACCTCGTGACCTTCACTTTCAATGCACCTAGTATTGGATGAAAATTCAAAAGTTCTCTTGCTTGTTTCCTTGGGCAGCTGTGTTACCTCCACTTTGGACTTCCCAAAACACGTAACTTCCACCCAGCCAGCTAATGGCTTTTGTGCCAACATAGAAGTGGTACTGAGACAGTCTTGTGACGAGTCAAATCTATTGAGGATACTATAACCTTCTTCATGTATATTTTATATCTTTTTCTTTTTTCAAAAATGAAAAGTAAGTGAAGTTACTCTTGGAGTAATAGCCAAGTCCTCAGTTATGGCCAAATTGTAAGGGTAGGGATGCCTTTTGGACTCATTGTCCTGATAGGCATTATCATGCAAGTTTTTCATGTAGTTAGGAGAATATTGTAGGATGAGTATGGATCTCTTTCTTTCACTAGTTAAAGAAAGATATTAAGAATTTTGGATAGGTTTTAAAGGGGGGTTTTAGTGGTAAGTTGTGGCTAACAATGTGGAAACGAAGTTGAAAGTAAGGCCTTAAATGGGTTTAACATAGGCGAAGTTTGGAAGCAAGCATTCCAAGATAGAGAAGAACATGTGGTTGCGGGACGCAGATATGAATGATGAAATGATGAACTTTGGGTGGAAAAGTTCTACTTTTTTCCATCCCAGAGGTAACACCATTTCTGTTCCAGGAAACTTAAGTTAGTCATCTTTGACTGAATAATGGAGGGATATCCTAGTGGTAAGGTCCTTCACCTCCGACCATGAGGTTGAGGGTTCGAGTCACCAAGGGGTAAAGAGGGGAAGACCACTTGGGCCTCCTAGATAGAGGTAGGAGGTTTGGAGGATGGGGTCCATCATATCAAAAAAATTTCAAATGGTTATCTTTTGAAAATTTCTTAGAAGTTGTTTTAGTAGTTTGTAATATATATTCATGTAGCAAAGTCATTTTTATAGGTTGTGATACATGTCTAGATGGATTAGAATGAAAGGGTTATGGAGGCTGTGCTCAAACATAGACGCGTCCCGTTGGGATGGCCATTGACCATGAATGAACTGCAGTTCACTTGCTACTTAATTTATCTGTTAGTGCTAACTTGGGAAGAGATAAATCTCTTCTATAGAAAGAAACATTTACTTTAAAGCTTTCACTATATATTATGAGATCACTATGGAATAATTGGTGTACTGTCTACTGGGTGTTGGCTTCTTTTTCTTCTTGAGGTATTGGGAGTCCATTTTACAGAACTCACTCCGTTTGTAGTGAAAGACTGGAAGTGTTAAATTTTGGTTTAACTTGTTAAAGAAAGGGAATTATTTCTTAACATATGCTTTTGTCAGGTTGATTTGCGCAGGGCTTACAATTGCGAAATCATGCTTACAAAAATCAAGATTCCCTTGCCTGATATGCTGGTGAGTTCTTTTAGCATCTTCTTGTTTCTACTATCAACTTCAATATTTTATCTATTGCACTAGTTTATGTATCCTAGTCCACAGGTCGGTCTTTTGACCAAACCTTTTTATTGTTTATCATATGAAACAATTATATTAGTTAATCTTTACTTGGCTTTAGGACAATCAGAAACTTTTGAAATCGAGCTGCTTATAATTTTAAAGGTGACACAAATTAACAACCAAAAAAAGTAATAATGACTCGTTATGCTTTTATCAATTGTAATCAAGTAACAAATAACATATACAATTGAATGTATATACTGTAAGACTTTATTTTCCAAAAGATTACAATTAAGTATTTTGGTTCTTGTCCCTTTTTAAATTTGCTAAATCTATAGAAGTATCTGATGAATCAAATAGATACAATATTATGCAAAAATATTGAATCATCATCATGGTTTTGATGGTTCTCAACAAATAAAGAATAAGATCATAGTATGTCTTGAACTCTAAATTGGAAGTGAAATATCTTTATTTCTGCTTAAAAAAGAGTGATATACCAATTAACTATCTATATTTCTACTCAATAAAAGAACGAAGAACGAATCCCAAACTGTTTGGGGTTGGCTATGTGAATCATCTGTATCCATATTGCTCTATGTCAGTCGTCAGGTCTTATTCAAAAGAGCTATGGTAGTTTGACTATTTTTATGAGAGCCATTAACCGATCACAATTCTCCTCGTAATTCAGTTTCGAGTTAGTTATGTTTTTCTCATATAGGTGGAGTTCACCGAGCACCTAAGAGTGTGGCCTAGTGGTCATTGAGGGGGGAGAGGCCCTAGGATTTTAGTTCAAATGCGAACAGAGGCAAAAAGTTAAGAGGCAGTTTCTCTCATCTGATTAAATTTTGGTGGGCATACCTATGCCGATAGGAGGTATCGCCTATAGATTAGTGGAGGTGCGTGCACAAGTAGGACCGGGCACCATTGTCATTGGAAAAAAAATAGACGGAGTTCAATGAAATGAATAAAAAGAGAAAATGAGTTATATATATTATGAAGGTAGAAGTTACTGAAGAAAGAACTAGCTACACCTACTGATCAAAAAGACATATTCATTCTTTTATAATTTTAACAACTTTAGAGAGTTGAAAAGATCATGTAATTTCACCTGACTTGAGGAGATCAAAATTAAATGTTAAACTCAATCGATATATTCTGTTGAAATTCAAAAGAATCACTATAGATATTGTATAAAATATTCTATCCTTTGGCTTTGTCATCAAATCGTATTGTAGTAATGCACAGTAATAATATGCTGATTCACACATGTGTTCAGTCAGCATGGTGAACATTCTTTAGGGATGCTCATGCATGGTTTCTTAGGATGGTTTTTTGTTTGTCTTTTTTGAGTTTTAATGAAGGTAGACTGAAATGAATGAAATATTTACCCTGAATCTCCTTTACTAATACAACAACTACGCCTCAGTCCCAAGCAAGTTGGGGTTGGCTATATGAGTCCTCACTGACCATGTTACTCCATTTAAACTCATCTCATGCCAATATTATGCGAATACAAGTAGGATTTCTTTTTACTAAAAATTTCTGGATTTCTGACACATTAGTATATGCATGTTTTACAGAATGCTGTTTTGGCTTTGGATTCGTCAGCTCTGGACATTGATCAAGTTGAAAATCTGATAAAGTTTTGCCCAACAAAAGAAGAAATGGAGACACTGAGGGTACTATCCCGTTCTAATCCTGGCAGTGCTTGCCTATCATGGCAAAGTTTAGCTCACAATAACATTTGTGTATTATGCATCTAGTCATTTATTTTGAGTTCATAAGTAATGTTAGAGATATCTTCTGAAATTAGCTTCAATTTTTGTTAAGTCTCCTCGTTTAGAGAAATTTTGTTTAACTCTCCTCGTTTAGAGGAAATAATTCACATTGAAGTTCTTACCAGTGGTACTTGGAGCCAAGACCAACACATTCACCTTTTGCATTTGTATTTGATTTTAGAATACTAGTTCAGCGAGTCATTGGAGCCAGTGGCCTATGATTTTGTTGATGTGCCTTTTGTGTAAGTAGCTGTGCAGATTGATGCCCATAATTCATTGACCCATTTGGCAGTTGCATGCTTATATGGAGTACGTACTTGCATCTATGATGTGCAAGCTTACGTTTGATGACTCCCTTTCCTGGTGTCTGTGGATGTGTGTATCATAGTCTGTTGTGTACGTAGATCCATACTTGTTTCTTCTTGATTTCCCATACCTTTATGAATTTAGTTGTGCTAGTTTCTTAACAGTGTATACTTGCCATTTAACAACTAAAAGTTAATTTTTGGTTTCAGAATTTGATCTTACTGGTTATGTTCTATTTTTCAGAACTATAATGGGGACAAGGAAATGCTTGGAAAGTGTGAGCAGGTCTTCTCCAATTTGACTATATATATATGGGGAAACCTATGTTGCTCGGACTCTCCGAAAATGTCAGTGGGTGCGTGTCTGATCCTTCAAAAATAGTGATCCGACACGGGTGCGGTGCTATTTTGGAGAGTCCGCGCAACATAGTGGGAAACTACAAAATTCTTTAGCCTCTAAGTTCTGAGTTATTAACTGGATTAATAAATGTTTCAGTTTTTCCTGGAGCTGATGAAGGTCCCACGAGTTGAGTCCAAGTTAAGAGTGTTTTCGTTTACTATCACTTTTTCTAATCAGGTATTCGCTCTTGTACTTGTTAGTGAACCAATGTCTATGCACTCTGCCATTGATTTTTCTATTGACTGTAATATCTTGAATTGTTCAGGTGACTGACTTGAGAACTAACCTAAGTACAATTAACAATGCTACTAGAGAGGTACTTTTAATACCTTATGAAGTTTGATTTGGCACATTCTGATTTCAACTGGATTCTAACTGCATTTCCTGATCGAGTAGGTGAAAGAATCTGCCAAACTACGTCAAATAATGCAGACCATTCTAACATTGGGAAATGCACTGAATCAGGGTACAGCACGAGGTACAAGTTTCTAAGATCTAGATCTTCATACAAAAAAGATTAGTTGTTTGGTGGAGGCTCTGTGAATAATATCTTTGTTTTTGTAATTACATTGCAGGATCTGCTGTAGGGTTCAAGTTGGACAGTCTTCTTAAGCTTTCTGACACTCGTGCTAGAAACAACAAAATGACCTTGATGCATTATCTGTGCAAGGTAGAACTATTGCATTATGATGCTTTTCTGTTTTTACCTTTATGTAAAGTTGACTCATTTTAGATCATATTTGTTTCCTGGAAATTTCTTTTTATCTTGTTGTAATTGCACAAAGACTGTAACTATTTGTTGCTGTTTTTTTCTATTAAATGTCAGGATGTTACTTTTGATCCGCAAGCTTGAGCTCTAAGGTAGTATATATCAGTTAGCTCTAAATTGAGAGGGATTGAAGGTGACTTAAGGTTAAGTTGAGTTAGATTAGTTTGGCTCAGTGATGATTGATGAGTGGCTCAAGATTGAGTTGACAAAGTGCGAAATTTTTCTGAGCTCTGTGTCATAACTTGCCAAAAATATTTTGCACATGCTACAAGGGCTAAGGTGGCCATTGACAGAGAGGAGGCGAGCGCTTTCAAGGTTTCAACATTCAAGATCAAATGATTGTTTGTTTAAGTTCAATAATAAAATAAGGGTAATCGGGGAAGCGTTGGCATGGTGCATGCCAAGATCAAATGATTAGTTTGGCCATCACACGTGGTAGTGTTGGCGCGATGGTGGAGCATGCACAAGGCATGGTGACTAGCCGCAGTGAAGCACGAGCGGGAGCCATAGCGTGCAAGCAAGGCTTACACCATAAGTGTGGCATGGTGCCCGACAAGGGCAAGGTATATGCGCGAGGCTAAATGCCCGTGGATAGCGCATGTCATGCACGTGGTGTGATGTGCGAGGATGATAAGGTACATGTCAAGGGACGGGGGTCCAAGCATGGCGAGGTTCGCAGAGTGTTATCAAAGGTGCGCTTAAAGCACGCTTAAGCCCTAAACCGGGGCTCAAAACATGTTGAGCGCTTCGTCTCGCTTAGTGGGTGCTTTAGTGTTGTCATCAAGGCTCTAAGACATACTTTTCCTTGCCAATGAGTGTAATCCTGAAGGGGCGTCACCAAACAATAGTTAAAGTCTGCGCTTTATTTGTGCTTTGCGCCTAAAGCCCCCACAGACCTTAGAGCTTTTTTGCGCTTTTCACCTTTGATAACATTGGGTTTGCACGGGTGATGTGGAAGAATGACCAATAATATGCCAAGGAAGCTTGAGGGTGTTAGCATATAGGGATGTGCTGTGGAATGCAATTGGTCTAGGGTGTGATGGAGTGCATTGGGCTGGGCATGGTCTATGGCCCAACCCCTCTGACAACAGAAGTGTCTAGAAGGCACTTAAGGGTTTAAGGTTGCTGCCAATGGACACTCTGGTGGTCAAGTCAGCCCTAGCCCAACTTTTTGAGTCTACAATGATCCTTGGGGGCTTATAAATAGGAGGAGACCCACACCTTTTGTAAGCAAGCAACCCACCAATAGATCTAGCAATTTCCAAAGTCCTAAGGGGTGGTTTGGTTTGAATACGGCTTATGCCGGGATAAGTTATACTCGAGTAAGTTATGCTGGGATTAGTTATGCTGGAATTGTTTTTTATCCATTGTTTGGTATGTTGTATTAAATATGACAATTGCATAATTTGTAAGAAGAATGTATAAGTTATACCGATGCTAATTACCACACCCTCTATAAGATATAAGTTATCCCCGTGTTAATTTTATTCCCGGGATAACTTATACCTGGTTTGCTAACCAAACGAAGTATTAAGATGGTATTAAATTTTTATACCAGCACTATACCTTCTTATACCTCATACCAAACGACCCCTAAGTGTACTACTAAGCATTCTAAAGCTTTATATGAGTGTCCTAATGTCATGTACTCCTTCAAGCATTGTGCTAAGAGTTGTGTTATAATACAAATGCCAATTCCCTCACTAACCAAGGTTATTTTCCAAGTCATCCATTGTTTCAAAGTGTCGTTTAAGCATTGCTAAATGCCACAGATGCTACTAACACTTCCAAAACCTCGAGGCGTACTTTGTCTAAGTGTAGAGGCTTGCTTGAGTCAAGCGACACATGTGGGAAGCTAAACCTAGCGTCTATCATGGGCTAAGTTGCTCCGACATGGCAATTTAGGTGCCGCACCCGTGTCGACAGGATACTAGTATGGGTGTGGGTATGGGATCCATACCGGATCTGGTCAAACAATTTTGGGTATTTTGACCACGATGGGCGGAAATATTCGACACGAGATACAACTTGATTCCCAAAATCAGAACCAAAACTAGGATAAATTTGAAGAAAATAGCATACCTTATCTAAGAAATCAATCCTTTACTTATCTATAACTTGAGAATAAAAAGAAATCCACACTTTACAAGCTTATACATAATTATTCCACAAAATTTATCATAATTTAAAGATATTTTTATATATTTTTTTGAATTATTTTGTAGTCGGATCCCCGCACCCGTATCCGTACTAGGATCCGTATCCTCAAGTCTTAGAATTTACATCTCGAAAGATTCGACCTCTAGATCCGCACCCTTGTCCGAGCAACATAGATCATGGGGGATAATTCGACTAGGTGCCGCACCTGACGCTAGTGAAATTGAAGATCAAACATGAAACTAGGTATACGAGACTCTTACAGAAGTTAAAAATTTCAAGCTTAAGTTATCTTGCCAAATGAAAACATTTTAATAAAATACACAAAAAGAACCTACAAATCGCCCAAAGGGAAGTCCAGATGTGTTTTCTCAAAATTAAAAAAATAAAAAGCAAAGAAAAGTCCAATGTGTATAGGTGCTTCTGTTGAGCACCTAAACAAAAAGAAGATTGTGTAACAAATCTCTGAGAAAAGGGTTCCATTCATTATCAAGGAGAAGGAAGTCAAAACTTCTAATGATGAAAATCTGAAAACTAATCCTTATAAAGTTATCTGACAGCTTAAGACTACCCACGGTATTAGCAGGATCAGCACCATTAGAAGAACTGCCACTTTTATGCCTTCTCAACATTGTATAACTTTGCTGGCTAACATTCACAATAAAGTTCATGGGTAGCTTATATTTTTGTTCATTTCCTATTTTTGTGTGCCAGTGATACACATCCGCGTTATGTGATTCGAGAGATCCATTTCCTTTTTATCATGTAACTTCCTGTTCTAGGCATTGCTCTAAATAGGATTGGTGGTCACATTGATTTTTCCATTTGCTGCTTTAGATTCCTCTTCTGCATTAAATCTATCCGTCCCATGATCCTTTTCCCCCATTTTAAGGTAATATTATTTGATGTGTATCTACCAAATTGTGAAATCATTAAAGTTCCTAGTCCACTCTTCGAGAAGTTTGCGGTGGGCCAAAACTTGTGTATGTTGAGGGAATGTTGGAACTTGGACTCTATTCTGGAACATCCAGAAAATGAAATTTTATTAAAATATTGGAACAACATAAGACCTTGGCTCTGAGATTTCTTCCTGGTCCAACACTGTTGTTAGTCGATGAATCTGCTTACTAACTGATAGTACACTGTATTGAAAATTATGCAAGTTTCCTTGTGGATAATAGCAACAAGCTGGAACAAGTTGGAATTAAAGCTCAGTTGTGGTATAGAAGATTAGACGTCTTTTGTAGAGAATCATGTTTTGATGTAAATTCTCTACTTTTGGGTATACTTCTTGTATACGGGAGTTTTTTCTCCCTTTTGATTAATACAATTTACCTTATCAAAAAAAGGCTCAGTTGTGCTGGTACCCTTACATTAGGTGGCGTTTTCCGTCCTTTTAGCTTGTTTTGAGATTTGTCAGTGGAAAATGTAGAGAACCTTCAGTATTAAAGGAACCACTAATTTGTTTGAAAAGACAAATTATTGAGTATTGGATTGAAATGAGTTCAAAGGAAATGGTGTACAATGCATATGAGGATTCATATAGCCGACCTCAACTATTCTGTGATTGAGGCGTAGTAATAGTAGTGGTCATTCTTTTTGACATGCCGGGAAAAAAAGGAAAAAAAAAGGAACGTCACAATAAGATTTTGAAACAGCGTCATACTGCCATTTTGTGAGCTCTTAGAAACAGATCTTTAGAACCATGCATCAAAGTGCCAAATCTGCATCATTTCCAAGTTATAACCACTTAAAAATTTTCTTTTTGGTGTTTTGCAGACAATTGATGACAGCTTTAAATATGTAACTAATTAATTCATGTGCACAAGTTATTTGAAGATTAATTAATACAAACTACTCCTAACTGCCTTATCGAGGTTTCTCATGGGGTTTGGATAGAGATACTGTCTTTTCTTTGCTAGCGCTGCTGAAAACAGTAAGAGAAAAGGAAGGAGAACAGATGCTGAAATTCACAGAACGAACTGAAGTTTTGTAAGGGGAGAAATTTAGAAATTTAATTATAAGTAATGAAAATATCAAGTTAAAAACAACTTCAGACACAAGCGCCAGTGATGAGATTAAATTACATCAGAAACAGTGAAAACAGAGAACTGATGAGGAAAGGGATGTGGAGAGAGGGTGCTGGATGCTAGGCAGGATGAATGTGCTGCTTTGCCACAAGTGGGTATGGCTATGACAGTGGCAGAAGCGAGGTTACTATATTTTCATGCCTCTTTTGTTGTTTATATCATCTGAGGTTTCCTCTTCAATGTCAATGGTGTGTGTGTGTGTGAAGAGATAGAGAGAGAGAGAGAGAGCGAAAGGGTCAGCCACTTGGCCAACCTGGACTTCTCTTGTGTCTTAACTCTTTTTCCATATGTATGTTTCCACTTTGCACTGCGATTCCAAAGATGTAAATCTGTCTTGTTTCTGTCAGCTCCTTGCTGAGAAAATGCCAGAGTTGCTTGATTTCGACAAGGATCTTCTTCACTTGGAAGCTGCTTCTAAGGTACTCTTTGCTGTACATAATGGTCTTCACTTGCAGTAATATTAGTATAACGGTGAAACTGAAATGTTTGTTTACGTTATATTAATTGATTAGATCCAACTGAAGTCTTTGGCTGAAGAAATGCAAGCAGTGAGCAAAGGTCTTGAGAAAGTTGAACAAGAACTTACTGCATCCGACAATGATGGTGCAATATCTTCAGGCTTTCAGAAGGTGAGATAAGAGAATGGTAAAATGTGATTGTTCCTACTTCCACAATGCCTTAGCTGGTTGCATATACTTTCAAGTTCATGTCTTTTTTTAGCTTTAACTTTTAACTGTTGAAGTCCATTTGACAATGTACCTGTTAGTTTGATAGTTAAATAGTAGTAAATAACCCTAATCCCATATGTATTAGAAGTAGGACATGTATTTTATATATATATATATATATAGGGCTCATTGTATCATTGTAATTAATTAATCAATAATATTTTCTCCCGTGCATTCTCACATGGTATCAGAGCGGCAGTGAGAAAACATCAGGGAAAGAAAACCCACCCAAAATAGTCGTCGTGCTTCAATTCCGGCGACCTTTTAGAGCTGTTTTCTCGAAAAAAAAACCAATTTCCATTGGTGTTGTGCAAAAACCAACACCACCACGAGGTATATCAGCTTCCGGCGACCAACCCATAAAAACTTCTCCGACAGACCACCTCCCACGTGCCCTCACGCGCCGCCGGAAAATATTTTCCGGCAAGTCTCCGTCGTCACGCGCCGGCGCGTGAGGCTTCTTCCAGCCATTTTTTTGGCCGAGCTTCTTCAGGACAGCCTGGTTGCACAACAATTCTGAGCCTACCCATACCTTTTTCTTTTTATTCCGAACACTTTGAGATTTTTCCGGCGTGAACAATAAGTTTTCCGGCGAGAACAGTAATTCCTTGAAAAATTCTGCTCTTTTCCGGCACAATATATAATGGCATTCGTATCAGAAGCCTTTAACTCACAATCCGTTGGATCCAATGCATTGAATCCAATCCAGATCGTTTCTTTTCCAGATTATATTGAGTTCCTTCAGTACAAAACACGTAAGCAGACATCTTCAGGATTAGCCTCCGTTGTTCCAACAAATAGTAGCATGACTTGTGTCTCCCAATCTTCAACTTCTGAATCTTAGGTCATTGATTCAGGTGCATCTAATCATATTTCTGGTAACAAATCTCTTTTCACTAGTATTTCATATTCTCAATCTCTTCCAACAGTCACAATGGCCAATGGGTCTCAAGCCATGGCAACTGCAATAGGTCAAGCAAGTCCACTTCCTTCCTTACCTTTAGACTCAGTTCTTTATGTTCTTGGTAATCCTTTTAATCTCATAGTCATTAGTCGCTTAGCCAAATCACTTAAATCTGCTGTTTTATTTCTTGATGACCTTGTTTTAATACAGGAACACACAGGGCGGATCATTGGTACCAGACGTGAATCAGATGGACTTTATTACCTTATACTTGCAAAATCACATAGACTCGCATCTTGTCTTCCTCCAATAACTTGTCCCGTTACTGATCCACCAGATTTATTACATAAACGGTTAGGACATCCCAGTTTGTCAAAACTTCAGAAAATGGTACCTGACTTATCTCACTTGTCCACTCTAGAGTGTGAGTCATGTTAGCTCGGTAAGTATACCCGCTCCCATTTCCCGCGGCGTCTTGATAATCGAGCTGAGTCACCTTTTACTTTAGTCCATTCAAATGTTTGGGGTCCTAGTCGGGTCAGTTCTACCTTGGAATTCCGCTACTTTGTCAGTTTCATTGATGATTATTCCAGGTGCACTTGGATATTTTTGATGAAAAATCGATCTGAGTTGTTTTCTATTTTCCATACCTTCCACGCTGAAATTCAAAATCAAGTTGGGGTTTCTATTTGCACATTTCGTAGTGATAATGCCCTAGAGTATTTGTCTTCCCCATTTCAACAGTTTATGAATTCTCATGGGATTATTCATCAGACATCTTGTCCGTACACATCCCAACAAAATGGGGTAGCTAAAAGAAAGAATAGACATCTTATTGAAACTGCTCGTACCTTACTCATACAATCTCATGTTCCGTTGCGTTTTTGGGGGGATGCAGTTCTTACATCTTGTTATCTTATTAATCGTATGCCATCTTCAGCTATCCAAAATCAAGTTCCATTCTCTATCCTGTTTCCCCACTTATCTTTGTTCTCTCTTCCACCCCGTGTCTTTTGGAGTACGTGCTTTGTTCATAACCTTACTCCAGGAAAAGATAAGTTAGCTCCTCGTGCTCTTAAGTGCATATTTCTGGGTTACTCGAGAATGCAAAAGGGATATCGATGTTATTCTCCTGACCTCTTCACAGGTCCAGTTAATCACTTAGATATTTCTGAGGTGCTACCAGTTCCTTCTTTTGGAGATTCAGTCCTTATCTCCCATTCATCTTCCTCCATAGCTCCACTACCTACAGTTCCAGTTGCAGCTCCACCACCTATAACTCCAGTGCCACCACCGAGTCCAGTGCCACCACCTAGTCCAGTTCCACCAACTATAGCTACAGTGCCAGCACCTAGTCCAGTTCAACCTTCTACAGCTCCACTCCTGACTTATCATCGTCGTCCGCACCCAGTATCAGGCCCAGCTGATTCACGTCCTGCACCTGACCCTGCTAATACTGCGGACTTGTTTCCTCTTAATCAACCGATTGCACTACGAAAAGGTATACGATCCACACTTAATCCTAACCCTCATTATGTCGGCTTAAGTTACCATCGACTGTCTTCATCCCATTGTGCATTTGTGTCATCTTTGTCTTCTGTTTCCATCCCTAAGTTAACAAGTGAAGCACTGTCTCATCCCGGATGGCGACAAGACGAGATGTCTGCTTTACATACGAGTGGTACTTGGGAGCTTGTTTCTTTTCCTTCGGGTAAATCGACCGTTGGTTTTCGTTAGGTGTATGCAGTCAAAGTTGGTCCAGATGGCCCGGTTGATCGACTTAAAGCTTGTCTTGTTGCCAAAGGTTATACTCAGATATTTGGACTCGATTATAGTGATACTTTCTCTCCCGTGACTAAAATTGTATCAGTCCGCCTTTTTCTATCCATGGCTGCTGTTTGTCATTGGCCTCTCTATCAGTTGGACATTAAGAATGCTTTTCTTCACGGTGACCTTGAGGATGTGGTTTATATGGAGCAACCACCTGGTTTTGTTGCTCAGGGGGAGTCTAGTGGCCTTGTATCCCGGATAGCGACAAGCTATGATTGACGAGATGTCTACTTTACATACGAGTGGTACTTGGGAGCTTGTTCCTCTTCCTTCGGGTAAATCGACCGTTGGTTGTCGTTAGGTGTATGCAGTCAAAGTTGGTCCAGATGGCCAGATTGATCGACTTAAGGCTCGTCTTGTTGCCAAAGGTTATACTCAGATATTTGGACTCGATTACAGTGATACTTTCTCTCCCGTGGCTAAAATTGCATCAGTCCGCCTTTTTCTATCCATGGCTGCTGTTCGCCATTGTCCTCTCTATCAGTTAGATATTAAGAATGCTTTTCTTCACGGTGACCTTGAGGATGTGGTTTATATGGAGCAACCACCTGATTTTGTTGCTCAGGGGGAGTCTAGTGGCCTTGTACGCCGGTCCCTCTATGGTCTAAAACAGTCCTCGAGCCTGGTTTGGTAAGTTCAACATAGTTATTCAGGAGTTTGGCATGACTCGTAGTGAAGCTGATCACTCTGTATTTTATCGACATTTTGCTTCAAATCTCTGTATTTATCTGGTCGTTTATGTTGACGATATTGTTATTACCGGCAATGATCAGGATGGTATTAGTAAGTTGAAACAACATCTCTTTCAGCACTTTCAGACTAAGGATCTGGGCAGATTAAGTATTTTCTGGGTATTGAGGTCGCTCAGTCTAGCTCAGGTATTGTGATCTCACAACAGAAGTATGCCTTAGATATTCTTGACACTCCGATGGATCCGAATTCTAAACTTCTGCCAGGACAGGGGGAGGAGCCTCTTAGCGATCCTGCAAGATATAGAACCGGTAGGTAAATTAAATTACCTCACATTGACTAGACCTGACATTTCCTTTCCTGTGAGTGTTGTGAGTCAGTTTATGGATTCTCCCTGTGATATTCATTGGGATGCAGTTGTCCGCATTCTTCGGTATATAAAATCAGCTTCAGGCAAAGGCTTATTATTTGAAGATCGAGGCCATGAGCAGATCGTTGGATACTCAGATGCTGATTGGGCAGGATCACCTTCTGATAGACGTTCTACGTCTGGATATTGTGTCTTAGTAGGAGGAAATTTGGTGTCTTGGAAGAGCAAGAAACAAAATGTGGTTGCTCGGTCTAGTGCAGAAGCAGAATATCGAGCAATGGCTATGGCCGAATGTGAGCTAATTTGGATCAAACAGTTGCGCAAGGAGTTGAAATTTGGTGAGATTAGTCAGATGGGACTTGTGTGTGATAATCAAGCTGCTCTTCATATTGCGTCAAATCCAGTGTTCCATGAGAGAACTAAACACATCGAGATTGACTGTCACTTTGTTAGAGAAAACATACTCTCTGGAGATAATGCTACAAAATTTGTGAAGTCGAATGATCAGCTTGCTGATATTTTCACCAAGTCCCTCACTGGTCCTCGTATTAGTTATATATGTAACAAGCTCGGTACATATGATTTATATGCACCAGCTTGAGGGAGAGTGTTAGTTTGATAGTTAAATAGTAGTAAATAACCTTAATCCCATATGTATTAGGAGTAAGACATGTATATATATAGGGCTCATTGTATCATTGTAATTAATTAATCAATAATATTTTCTCCCGTGCATTCTCACAGTAACTTAACAATATTTTGTAGAAAACTTATTCTAGTACATGGGAACATTGTCACATTTGCACGTGATTAAGTCTGATTGACCGAAAGTCATCCGAAGCTTTTTATATGTTGAGAAGATCATAAAAATCAACGTCTAAAAGTATTAACAATTCTCTCGTGATTTTCTTACGACAAAAGTGAAATGAATGGCATTGAGCGGATTCCGCTTTTCCCCAGGTTTCCTTCATTATACAAGGATCCCTCTTTACTATTAAAAAACTTCACCCTGGATATATTATGAGAAGACAAAGTAGGGAAGAATTGTACCGCTGGTGTAGAAGAGTAATATGTGTCATAAATGGATGACAATTAGTTTCACTCAAAAAATCAAGTGAAAAGGGCACGCATGGGAAAGGCCCCCCATTTGGTTTGTATCGGACATGGTTTTCAAGTGGAGGCTAACTGGTATTGCAGTCAAATATGATTGCAATGCCCTCGATTTGGTGTACATGCATAATTTTGTTGAACTTCTGAAATATGTGGTTAATTACTTGGTCATTTCTTCTCAGGTGTTGAAGAATTTCCTTGATACTGCTGAGGCTGAAGTCAAGTCTCTCACTACTCTTTATATTGAAGTGGTTAGTTTTCCTGCATTCATTATGTCATACTTTAATACTCCTGGAAGTTTGAGCCATGTCATGTTTGCTCATTGTTCTATCTCGTAAATCTACAGGGAAGGAGTGCAGACTCCCTGTCCCTGTATTTTGGCGAGGATCCAGCTCGATGCCCCTTTGAGCAAGGTTAGAACTACATAGGATATAATTTTCTTGCTGTGTTATGAGTCATCTGGTGAGATTTCTGGAAAAGAAAAAAAATAGAGTCTTGTAGCTGTTTGGTGCAACACTTGGTAGCTATTTCAGTATGGGTTATCTATACACTATTTTTTAGTAGTTTAAGCGTTTAATGTGAAGACTATGTGATGCACAGTGTATGTCGCTTTCCTATGATCCGTTGTCAGGTTGATGCCACCCTTCTTTAGGTCTTTTGTAGCATCTGTTTAGTGCATATTGCCATTGGCTAGATTTTTCGAATTGCATTTGTCCTGGGGATCTTGTTTAGTTCATGTATCATTTAGATCAAGATTTGTATGTTCAACCAATGTGAAAATTGCTTCAACAGATTTCTCCTAGTGTAGCAACTTCTTGACCAGGCATATCTATTAATAACATTTTGATCTATGTGATAAATTTTGATGGTCTTCATATCTTTTAGTGTGAGTGATGCATATGTTTACTTTCTGGATGCAGTGACACAGATTTTGGTGGTCTTCACCAAGATGTTTAAAAAATCACGCGATGAGAATGAACAACAAGCTGATGCTGAAAGGAAGAAATTGGAAAAGGAAGCCTTGAAGGAACAAGCAGCCGCTAGTTCTTCTGGAAAGAAAGAAGTTGATGCTGATCGAATAAAACTAAACTTTCGAAATCAGTTACATGCTGTATGATCAGTTCAAGTCGACCAAGCTTACTATACTCCATAAGCCGAGAGAGTGTATACGGAGAACAGTTCATAATCGGGTAAAAAAGATTTACATTCTTGATGATAGCAGCCTTGGAGGGCTTTGCTCAAACAAGTTGATGCCAGTGTACTTCAGTGTTAAGTTTTATAGTTAGTTATATATGTACATAATTACCATAGTTTTATTTCTTGCCATGTAGAATCGCGCGGTACTGCCATGATTACTCCAATTTTGTATCCAGAGGTAAAAAATCGGTAGATCTCAAAATTCGAGAGGTTTCCAAGTTGTACATATTGAAGTTCCATATCTGTGTATATGTATTTAAAGGTGATTTATTTTTACCATAAGCTGTATTTCATAGCAATGGAAGTTCAAAAAAATGATGATGATGGAAAAAGGATCATTTCATAATATTTATTGATAGAACAAAGAACAAACTAAATGAAAACTTTCCTCCTTCGCTTCGTCATATCTCTTAGATCATTTAAATTATTGGTAGATTTCAGATGATGAATTCAAACACTTCTAATTTCAAATTTGCCTTTATCCACACAGATATCTTATTAATGAAGTGGAAAAAAGTATGTAATGAAGTGACATCTATAACGGTTGGACCATTTCAACGTTACGAGTCTCTGAAGTTACAATTTCACATGCTGTCATGATTGCTTTGCATATTTTTACAAGAAAATTCTAAACATAAAGGAAAAAAAAGAAGAAGCAAAGATAGTTCTATCAGTTTGTTATTTGAACTTTTAAGATAACTCAGCACTTCTTCCATGCAATGATGGTCATGAATGAGAATAGTAGTATAACGTACTGAATGAAAGATGAGGTTACTTTACATAATAAACAGGCAATCGAAGTAAGTATTATATAAACTTAAACTAATTTCCATTTTGGGTTGTTGTTGCACTTTGCAAAAACTGAGTTTGTATCTTGTTGAGTAGGACATGTTTCATGCTGATTCGATCTTGAGGCAATTCAGCTGTGCAATGTAAGGCTAATTCCATTAGCAACTTAAAGCAAGTCTCTTTGGAAGAAAACTGCTCATCTTCTCTTGAAAACAGATTAGCATCTACAATATCTACCACATTATCAGGGAATGCTTCAAACACCCATCTCTTCAAGGTGAGTTCTTCAACGAAGAGATCGTCCGTGGGTTTCTTTCTTGTAAAGGTCTCCATTAACAAGATACCACAGCTGTAAACATCTCCCATGGTTGACACTAATCCTTTCGATCCATATTCTGCAACTAGCTTCCGCATGACAACTGATCATTTCGATCCTAAATATTTTTCGGAGGAACATACATATTTCTTCCATAACCAAAGCGAATGATGAGCATATTCGACAATAATGATGGATTTTGCTAATAATTAAGTTCAAATTGATTTTGAAGAGTAGAAATTCCACCTAACACACATCACCGTTTGAGCCAATTACTTTGATAACAATTAGAAAAATGAAAATCAGTTAATGTGTATGCTTTAAGAAATGGTTTGATTTGTAAGGTGATGTTCTCAAAAGAATTGGAGAATTATTTGTGTTCATGAAATACATTCATTGTTGGTAATTTTTATTCCAGACAGTTGCCATTAAAGCTTTAAACGTGACGAGAAATACCAAGATGAAAGGAGAACGGGTTAGAGAGAATGGCTATAAAAATTAATTTAAATGTAAATTAATTCCATATTGTCCAATTGAAAATTGACATTTGTACATATTAGTTAGTCTTTAACTCATTTTACGCCTATGACGCGCTCCCATGAAAGTGCAAGCACATTCACTGCCACATCATCATTGAAGGGACCCCACAAAGATAAAGTGTGTAGTTAGAAATATATACATTTTCCTAAAAAAATATTTGATAAGAAAATGCTTGGTTGTTCTTATGTGTAAATATTTTGGCTGTTTGTTTGGAAACACATGATTTCTTAAATACTATGAATATATCATTAGTTCACGATACATATTATCTTACATAAATTGAATTGCCTTGCATAATAATTCAGCTAGCTCATAATATTATAAGTAATTGAATCTCTTGATTGTTGTTATGTCATTGCTTGCACTAATTCAAATTTAGCTCAGATTAGACATATGTGATCACATACGGTATGAGAGAAGTAACCAACTTCCCTGGGGTATGAGTGACATAGTTACCGGGGCTAGCTATCCCATACTCGTAGGTGTTCCATTATAAGATTCAGATTCAGAAAGAAAAAAATATGGTTAACCTCCTTGAGTATAAATTAAAAGCCAACAAGGCAGGAAAAATGATACATCCATCCTCACACTTGGTGCCATGGTTTATTTAAATTTATGTGTTCGGGAGAATTGTCCAATATCCCCGAGTGTAAAAATTGCCATGGTCGCGAAATGAGCCAGCCATCCTCACACTCACAGGCGTTGAGCGTGTGGGTGACAAAGCTAGTGGTTAGATTTCGGACTTCTCGTGGATTCAGTAGATAGCATCAATTGATTCCTTCCAGCTGTAGTTGACTATAGACTTTGAGTTATTTAGATATTTTTGTTACTCCAGGAGGATGTCCCGAATTATACTGCTCTTAGATTTAGTCCTTAGAGGGTCATGACTGTCATGATGGGTAGCTTTTAGATACTATTTTCTAAACTTTTGTTACAGTTTTCAGATACTTATGATATGTGATTATTCGTATTACGCTTGTTTTAATAAGCTTAGCATCATATTCTGTAGTTAGAACGTGGTTCGCTCGATGGACAGGTTGGTTAAGTGCCATAATGTCCTACCCCTGTTTCAAGGCGTAACAATTTATAGACTTATTGAGGATTTATTTTTACTAGAAGGTCTGAGGCAGCAATTTTCACTAATGCTTTTCCTTTTCCTTTTTCAGAAAAAGATACTAAATAATCAAATGAAATAATAGGGTACAAGTAAAGTAGAGTGAAGAGTAAATTATTCTATACTGTAAGAAGAAGGAAACCTATATGCTTTTGTTGTTCTTTCTCCTCGTTGCTAGACTCGGGACTAAGGCATTAATCCGCTAAAGCTAGTGGGCATTTTATGTAAGGGTTGCTCTAGGAGTAGATTTTGGGTTTAGATTCAAAATCTTGATTCAAAAGGTTCAATATATATAATTTTTTTTTGTATATATAATTTTTTTTATATAATTTTTTTTTTGTGTGTATATAGATGAGACTCCTCTTCATTTCCTATTGTACTCATTTCCCCAAGTTCTTACTTGATGGAGTCACATGGCATAATTGAGAATTAAAAGTTGAAATTTAATTAAGCAAAGCAAGGCTCTAACCATAGTTAATTCCTTCCATATAGAGAATTTCCTTATCAATTTCTTAAGTTTCCAATAATTCTTTTTTTTTTCTTCCAGTTTTCTGAACTTTGGTTACCCTTGCTTTTAACCTCTACTACCTATACAAGGAGAAGGGCAAGGCTAAGTCCACGAATTGGGTTTATATAAGACTTCAAAAGTCGAGACTATATGTGTCGACCTTTTCACTTAAATTTGGAATACTTCTTAAATTTGAAATACTTCTTTGTGATGTACATAATTTTAAGGTCAAACAGATTCTTTTTTATTTTTATCCGGCAATAGTATTTTGTAGAGTTTTAAACATTTTTTTTTATCATTTGTTAATTAAATCTCAACCTTTAATTCTTGACTATGCTATGTGGTTCTCAGAAACTTGGGGAAATGAAAAAAATAAGAAATGAAGAGCAACTCCATCCTATACATAGTTCAAAACAATAAGTTCAGTTGATCAAGCCACAAAATTCGAGGTATATTTATAACGATCCGACTGGTCGTTTTGAGTATTAACTTTCCTTTCCATGTTCCGAGACTTTTTGTAGCTCTATTTGATGACTTATGAGTTGTGTGTGTGGTCCGCGTCGATTTTCAAAAAATATAAATGTGAATTTTTAAAGAAAATTTGATTTTTGAGTTTGAAAATGACTAGAGTAGACCACGATCAAGATTTTTAGTAAACAACCTCGGATCGGTATTTTGACGATTCCGGTAGGTTCCTATGATCATTTTTGACTTGTACATATGTTTGGTTGGAGTCCCAGGAGACCCCAGGCCATTTCGGCGCATTATGTGAAAAGTTGGCAAATTGAGTTTTAAGTTGAAATCCATGGGTTTTGATGATCGATTCTTGTTGTTTGATGTTATTTTGATGATTTGAGGTAGCAAGCGAGTTTGTATGATGTTATTACACTTATGTGCATGTTTGGATTGAAGCTCGATGAGCTCGGCTGAGTTTTGAATGTGTTTTGGAAGGAAATGAACTGCCGAATCGAAATCCTGCATCTAGGTTGCAGGTCTCGCAAATGCAAAGACTTGCTCGCAAATGCGAAGCCAGGCTCGCATTTGTGGCTCGCATTTGCGGAGTTGGGATGAGGACTTCGCATTTGCAAAGAAAACATCGCATTTACGACTAGTGGCGCATTGCATTTGCGGTTGTGAAAGATGGCTCATATTTGCGACTCTGGGAAAATCTGGGTTGCTTTGCTTTTGCTACACCTGTACCTGCAATTGCAAACTGGTGGCCTTCGCAAATGCAAAGGGAATGTCTCATTTGCGACTACTGCACTGCTGGGACACTGATTGTATTTGCGATTAGTGGTTCGCTTTTGCGATGGTCGCAATTGCGACATCTGCAGCTGGGTAAAAGTGGAGAATTTCAGAACTTAGCTTATTTACACTATTTTTCAACTCTAAACTCCATAGGGGCGATTTTTGAAAAAGATTTTCTTTCCAAATTCATTGGTAAGCATCTTTAACTAGTTTTCAATTAATTTCAAACACTTTTCCATGAATTTTAATATCAAATCTACGAATTTCAAAATAGAAATTGGGGGTTTTAGGTAGAATTTAGAGATTTTGTAAAATTAAAATTTAGATCTCAAATTGAGGCCGGATTTCGAAACAAATCACATATTTGGGCTCGGGGATGAATGGGTAATTAGAATTTGGTCCGAATCTCAGATTTCGACCACGTAGGGCTAGGTTGACTTTTGGGATTTTGGCCAAGACATAAGCTTTATTGATTGAGGATGTTTCCTTTAAGCAATATTTGACTTTACTAGATGATATTTGACTAGGTTTTCATTGTTTTAAGGGGTATTTCTATAGAAGATGGTATTGGATTGTGGAAATTATTCCGGAATGAGGTGAGTATCTTGCCTAGCTTTGTTGGGGGAATTTTTTCTACTAATTGATATTATTTTCTCCATANGGGGAGGGGGGGAATTATATGGTTCTTTATGCCTTTGTTGAACTTGATAATCCCTTAACCTATGCTTCATTTAATTCGATGACTAATAAACTCAATTAATTGTATTAGAAATCATGTTAGAATAGATGACATCTTAATAAGGATTTAATGTGCTGTTTTTGAGATCCATTGCATACTTAACTTGATCGTGATATCACGAACCTATATTCATACCTACTATTGTCATGTTACTTGAGCTTCTTTATTCGTTATAAGAGATGGTGATTGGGACCTTAGGGCTATGTTTGTCCTGATGAGTATTTCCGTATGGTTGATAAGATGTTAGCACGATGAGTATTTCCGTGCGGTTTGAAATGAGATTAGTTTGTTGGTTATTACCATGTGAAAATAAAGGAAGTTGGAATTCTGTTATGGTTACTCGTTCATTAAACACTTAGATACCCTTTTCTTTGGTCTACTAATGTTTGTTGTTTTGTAGACATCTTCCGTTTAAGTTCCTTATGTAGTTACCTCTGTGTTTTCTATTTGGGCTGTTACTATTATAGCTATGTGTTTACCTTATTTGTTAGTGTTACACAGGCTTTTACTTGATTTACTTCTGCTACATGTCCTTTTTGAATTCTTATCTTTACTTGTTATTAGCCCATACCCGTTACATGCCTCTAATTGTCACGTGATTTACTTGTTAGATGCCTTAACCTGCTACATGTCTTCATTTACTACATGTTTTCACTTACTAATTGTCTTCACTTACTGTATGCTTTTACTTACCATATGCCTTCACATATTAAATTCCTTTACTTGTTATATGCTTGTACTAGCTACGCGATTTCGTATATTGAATGCCTCATTTGTTCCTTGTTCTACTTGACAAACATCTTTACTTGTTTCATATCCTACTCTCCTTTGCTTAACCGGATTATGTGACCTTTAGATTGGTTGCGTGTTATGCTTTGTGGAAGCCTTGTTATTTTATATGGTAGACTAGCTTTTGATATTGGCTCATCTTACCTT